CAAAGCCAAAGAGGAGGAAATAAGTGACTTCTACCAACTGTAGCAATTGGAAATTGATTGAATATGCAACCAAGGTACATGAGTAATAATGAGTGAGTGAAATGCAAAAGTTGAGAACAAAAAAGAAGAACCAGTAGTTGGAAAATATGGACTTGACAATAGAAATGAGGCTGGAGACAGAATGATAGAATTCTGTACATATTCATTACAAGTACCTTTTATAAGAAACACAAATGGTGACTATATACATGGACCTCACCTGACATCCTACACAGGAATCAGATCAATTACATCTGTGGGAAAATCATCAAAGCAGCTCAACATCAGCAGTGAAAACTAGGCCAGGTGGTGAGTGTGGAACATATCATCAATTACTTATGTAAAAGTTCATACTTAAGCGAAAGAAAAGCAAATCCACAAGGCCAGGTGCTGCTTGTGGAAAAGATCATTAATTTCTTGTATATGAGTTAAAACGTAAGCTAAAGAAAATAAAATCCAATCCACAGGAACCAAAGTTTGACCTTAAGTCTATCCCTCCTGAATTTAAAGACTATTTCTGAACAGGTTTGAGTTCTTGAATAGTGTTCTGAGATCTTGCTAAACTAGTCTTTGAAATGTACAGAAATCATATTTGAGAACAGAGAAATTTTTCTTCTTCTATAATATGCATGTCCTTTACTTCCTTTTTCTGAATAGAATCTATTTTGTATTATTTAAATTCTCTTGAATTGATAATTTTTAAGATCATAAATGTAGTCTAGGTTAATATTTCATGTATATGTGCTAAAAATGTGTATTCTACTGTTGTTGAGTAGAATGTTCTGTAGGTGTCAGTTGGTTGACAGTATTGTCAAGCCTTTTACAGTAAAACCTGTGAAAATGAGGACTGGGGGGATACATAAACTTGTCAGAGAAGAAAAAAAATATTTCCCACTGAAATGACAGAAAAGAAAAGTAGTAAAGAGTAAAAGGGTTAGGGTTAGGGTTAAGGTTATCACACTTGTGATAACAGAGTAATCCTGCTGAATTCCAGCTTTCACAGGGTTTGGTGAATATACTTAGTGATACCTCTACCCTTAGTCTTCTAATGGGAGCTTTGGTGGTATAGTCTGTAAGGAGTTGCTCCAGTAATCCAAAGGTAGCACTTCTCTGGAGGTTCAAATCCACCAATGGCTACTCAGGAGAAATATCTCAGGAGAGATATCTCCATTTGTGTGATTTATAGCCTCTAAAATGCCAGTACAGAGCTCTGCTGGGCTAGTGATAAGAATTCATTGTAGTAAGGCACAAGGTTGGAATCCACTAGCTGCTCCACATGAGAAAGATGGCCTAGCTTTTCCATGTGATTTACTGTCTCTGAAAACATGCTGGTGAGACAACTGACTTGGTTCTGACTCAAAAGCATACACCAAAAACCAAACCAAAACAAAAACAAACCAACTCGAAGGTCAGCTATTAAGTGGTTTTGACTTAATGGCATAAGTGAATTGACAAAAATTTTATTCATTAACAATAGAGGAGTGCTGAAGTCTCCATTTGTTGTTGTTGTTGATTGCCGTTGAGGCGATCATGAATCACAGTGACCCTATGAACAAAAGGCCTGAAGCCTTTCTATAACTAGCGTTGATTCTCAAGGTTCATAAAGTTTCCAGAGGCACGTTGTTTAGGAAGTGGATGCCACTCCTACTTTTAAACTTGTCTTAAGCTGGGAGCTCCACCAAACACTGTCCACCATGGGTAACCATTATGGCATCTGACACCCCAAAGTCACAAGGTTCAGCATCACAGCAACCTCAGGTACAGCAAATTGACAGAAGAGTACTGTGCCACTTAGAAGAATGTTCCTCCAAAATATAACAACCGACTTTTAAATACAAAGACCCTCCCCAAGGTCTTGTTGACTCTAACCATGAGGCTTAAATAAAAAGAAAAAATAAAATAAAAAAACAACCAATACAATAGTTGTTGCTGTTTTTATGTGCCATCGAATTGCCTGCAACCCATATCAACCACAGCAGCTCTGAACCCTTCTCTGTCCTGAGCCAGTCTCACTAATTCTGACACACCAACCCCCACTGTCTGAGTTACTGTATCAATCCATCTCATCTAGGGTCTTCCTCTCCAGCACTGTCAGTCCACCCTTCAGAGCATGATGTCTTTCTCCAAGGACTGATCTCTCCAGGCCATATGCCCAAGTAAGTGAGGCGGAGCTTCAAAATCCTAGCCTCCAAGGAGAGAATCCATTCTCCATATAGGTTGTGGATTCATCTATTTCTCTTTTTAGGTTTTCTCGGCTTTAACTTTTAAGTTATACTGTTGGACTCATACATTTGGAATTTTTATATATTGCTGAATTATTGCCTGTATCTTTCTCATTTTGGGTAATCCTGGAAGTAAATATAGGATTTTCTACCTATTTTATTTGTCTTAGTCTATTGTTAAATTTGTTCTCTTAAACTAGACACACTAATTTCATAATTTTTAGTAATTTTAGAACACAACTTGAGGCAAAATTGAAAAGGAAGATGAAATGTGATTCTATTAGTATCCTTTTTAGCTAAATAGGTGATGTTACAGAGATCTCTTCTGATCATCAAAATTCTGATTACTTAAAACATCGAAACATTTTCTATCTTTGAGAGTGGATTTTTCAAGTGATTTTTATGAAGCAAAAAGTAGCTGCACTGAATTTTTACTTTAGATGCATTTTAGTGGTGTGATTTTCATGACTTCCTTTCAATATTTTAATGGACCCTCAGAGCTTTCAAGATTTAATTGTACACTTGTGCCAGTCTGTAACAAAGCATTTATCAAAATGTTCTATGTGGATTTTTCATTCATCAGCTCTCTGCCCTTTAGGATATAGTCCACCAGCTGCTTCACTCTGCTGAGATCCACCCAATAAAGACATCAAACAAAAGGAAAATATTATTTACAGTTTGACCACATGCACCATACATCTGTGTTCATTTCAGGTAAAAGGTTACATTGCAGGCCCAAATGATAGCATAGAAATTAGCAAATGGCTTCAAATAAGTAATGGGTATAATTAGAGACAGGATAAATGGTAGAACGCAGAAGAGTCAAAAGCAAAGAGTATAAACAAAAATTATTGCTAAATATAAGCCTTAATTGTCTCTATAGGAATGCTAATAGACTTTAAAGGTCTTAGTTTTTAAAAACGGATTTTGTTTTAGATTCTTTTTTAAATTGGTCAGTGGCAGTTCCTATCTGTTCCTAAGTCTAGAACCATTCTTTTCCTTAATTATTGACCAGACTTCTTACATTACAAGGAAGAGTAAAGTCACTTGACACATTTTGTTAATTTCACTTTGCTCAACCTTGAACATTTTCTCTATATTAAGGGACATATCTTTCTCTGTCACCATTCTTTTGTTCAAGTATATTCTCTTTTCTTTAATATAGTGCCATTTTGCACATGTCCCCCGCCTCTCTCTGTACTGTACCAATTCTTTCATACATTTATCTTTTCCCCACTCTACACTTATTTTCTGAACATCTAACAAGTGCCAGTTACTGAATTACCACCAGAGAGAAAATTAAATAAAAAATCAATCATCTTCTCAAGGAAGCCATAATCTATGAGAAAGATGAAAAGGTAAACAAATAATTAAAATCAAGTCCATCACATACTAGGAACCTATAAAAGAAGACTAAGGCTTTCTACTTTTGTTTCTAATTTTATAGGTTATATATTTCACTGCAATACTGCTAGTCTTAATTTCTCATCTGGACTAAAAATCTGCATTTTTGCATGCCACATAATTATCCTACCACTAAAACCAATCTCTCAGACCACCTATTTCCTTCCAGTTGCCAACTAACATTTATGTACAGGTACCACAATTATCCTAAACTTAAAAGCTTAAGAATCTTAGAAAAATGTCTGTATTTTATTCACATATCCTCTCCTCCTAATTCCAAACTCTCCTTCAAGGCTTAACAAAAACATCTTTTCTAAAATGCTCCATGACCATCCTGGCCAGTAACAGTCTCTCTCTTCAGAAGAGTAAAGATTTCCTATCTGTGAATCTCTCCTAACACCTGGCTTATGACTTCTGTCAGAAGACCTGGTTTGTCTTTGTACTCTCAACAGCACGTGGAACCCTGCCTTGTTCAGAGCAGGTACAAAAGTGGATTAACATTTGAATAGTACTAAGTCAACTTAAACTTTGCACACAGCAGATACATCAGAGTTTTCTTCAGTTAGAAATTCCTTCAAGTAACTGCCAAATGATATACTATGATTTAGAGGTTCCCATTCTAAACCATGTTATTATTTTTCAGGAAGAAGTTCTTAAATTACTCAAGCTTAAGGAGAAGCTCATCTTCAATACCCTCAAAATTTAAGCCAACTCAACCAGAGCTAAGTGATCTTTGCAATGCCATAATATTTATCTTTAAAGAAAAGCAGAATTAATAAAGACGTAATCTTAGATAACTCGCTTTTAAATTTTTAAGTATTTCTTTATTACTTGGATTGTTCACAAGACAAAATATTTTGACAAACTAATAGGCCTAAGTAAGCAACTCTCATTAGAAGTGTAGATTAAACACTGTAACAAGTGATACTTATCAGAACATACGGCTGGTACACCTTATATTGTTTTCTGTTCTAGTCTGCACACAGTACAGAAAGTGTCCCCAAAGAGAACAGACTGTCATTAATAAGCTTAACTGCATTGTTCCGTCTGTATAAACTGGTCCTCAACTGAGACAGTAAAACAAATTGGGCGAGGGGAATTTCTGTCTTACTTATTATCAAGCAAAATTAAAATGCAGCCTAGCAGAGAGAGGAACTAGGATTTCCAAGGAGACTAAACCAGGAAAGTTAAGGCATTAGCTTAATTCATCTAGAAGATAGGCGTCTGGCATGAGGTCTGACAAGTAATGGAGGATTGCTGTAAGAACATTAAACGAACCTGAGGGGAAATGTCTGCTGCCTCGTTACTGAGGATGCACAGCACAATCTGACCTACCTGGCTTATTCCTGCGGGAGAGATCTTGTATGACTGCAACTTCTGCTTCAGCAGCTCTGGATCACTGTGACGGAATGGGCACCCTGACAATGAGAAAACAGGCCAGCGCAGCACACAGGTTATTCACCCAGGACACAGTACGATACCACACTTCAGAGACTGTATAAGCTTTTTCTGATTCTCTAAGAGCTTATTAATAAAAAAGTTAATTGCCCATGGGTGCAACTGTTTTCCATTCTTTATCTAAATGACGACTTAGCTGTATGGCTCTCTGAGTACTACAGGCTCAAGAGTGATGTAAAACATTACTGTAGTCTTGGATTAAGATGCTCATTCAATAGGAGAAGGAAAATAGCTTTAATTATGCTATTTGCCAACAAGCAAGATAATCACAAAATAACTACAGTAGTTTATTTGAAAACTACATGATCTTACTTTTCTTATAGACAGGTGGTTCGGATGCATCACTTACTCCTTGGTAAATATGGACGATCTCCTCTCAAATGATTTACTGCCTTTGAAAAGTCACTGGAGGATCAGTTCCTACTTGATGACAATGAGCTGAATTGAAATATATAAATAGCACACTGCCGTTGCTGTTGGTATGTACTATAGAGTCAGAACTGACCCACAGCTGACCCTCCAGAGAGTTTTCAGAGGCAGTTAATTGCATGGGAGATTGTCCTTACTTCTCCCAAGGAGCAGCTGGTGGCCTTGACCCACGTGCTCTCAGGATTGCAGCTCAGCTTCTTGCCACTAGGCCACCAGAACTCCCAATTAGCACACTAAATGTGTAAACTTCAAAATACATCGAATTCTCACATACTTTTCAGAGATAAATTCTATATGTATTCTTGTAGACGAGAACCTATGTAAGTTTAAAAGTATCGTGGGTAAAAAGAAGGCAGATACACAGAAAACTGACAGACAAACAACTGAGAGTAGGCACACATTTTCTCAGTAACCTCTGAGAAGGAAAAAGAAAAACACTACTAACATGTTTTCATACACTATGACACAGAAATATCGAAATGTAAAGACTACATTAAGCCATAATCTAGAAAAATTTAGATATTATAATAAAAAGCTGTCATGGTAAATAAAAATATTTATTCTAAAAGTTAGTAATAATTCATTCATTATAGAAAGAAGGAGCGAGGCCCAGTGCGTAGAAAGTTGCGATGCTAACCCAAAGCCTGGGTCTCTCTGGTTACTCTAATCTAGCAGCTACCATGAGAAAGAGAGATGGATCATCTCCACCCTATTTACAGCCACAGAAACTCAGTGGAGGGTCAACTATAAGTTGAGGTTCTGGTCCAACAGCAATAAAATGAGGGGGTTTTTGGTTAGTTGTGTTGTGGTGTTTTATTTCCTTAGTAGAGAAAGAAAATTAAGTGAAGATATTGACTTTCCATAGGCAGCAATATTAAACAGGATCCATACCTTATACTATAAACAAAAACAAATTAAAAACGGATTAAGGATTTACATGTATTAACTAAACAATAAAACTCTTGGGAGAAAATGTAGAGGCAATGCTATCAGGATTATTATTTAATAGTGAAGAAGCTAATACCAGTAAAAAGCTCAAATAGCAAAAGAGAAAAGAAATGTGACTGGATAAAAATTAAAAACTGACTTGTCTAAAGACTTTCCGCCAAAAGCAAGAAGATGAGCTACCAACTCAGAGAATATATCTTGAAACTACATCTCTACTAAGAATGAATAACAAAAATGTACATAAAATTTTGACACTTTAACAACAAAATGACAAATAATTCAATCACAAAGTAGGCAAAGGACTTTAGCAAAGAGGGCAAATGATCGCCAGAAATGAAAGAATACCTGCCAACATTAGCCATCAGAGATGCAAGTGAAAATCACAATGCGATACTGTTTCACTCTCCCTAGGGAGCTCTGGCGGTCTAGTGGTAAGATGCGGTGCTGCAATCCTTAAGGTGCATGGTTCAAATCCACCAGCTGAGAGAAGGATAGGCAATCTTTTCTCGTGGCATAAACTGCCTCTGAAAACCTGCTGGAAGGTCAGCTATGGGTTGGTTCCAACTCAGGAGCACGCAACAAAAACAACAAGATGCCTAAAAGAGAGGGAAGAAAAAACAACAACAACAAAAAAGACGACCCCAAAAGCCAAAATAACAAATGTTGGCCAAGAAATGGGGATATAATGTGGAACTACATAATGATCCCTCATCAAGTGCTAAACCAAAGAGCTATAAAAGCATTAAGAGTAGAATGCAATGCTCTTTAATCCCTCCTATGAGATTTATAGTCTCTGAAAAGCTTTAACTATGAGTTGGTTCAGCACTGAGGTTGACAGTTAATCCTATCACAGCTCTGATCTGATGTAAGGGAAGTTTTCTTAAGATGTGACCAAGAACTCTTTTTATATCATAGAAATCAAAGGGGAGGAAATAAAACTGAGGCTGGGGACCACCAAGACATAACAGCCAGGAGTGGAAAACATTCTTCTGGCCTCAGGTTTCTACACCAGCGGGATCTCTGTTACCAAAGACTGTGGGGAGATGCCCTGATAATCTTATTCCACCAGATGTTCCAAGAAAGAAATGGTCCTCTTTTGTGTGATTTACAGCCTCAGACGCCCAGCACAGTGTTCCAACTCAATGGCAATCAGCTTGAATATTCCTGAATCTAAAACAACTGAGACAAATAAGAAGTCAACATATGTTAACTATCACTGTAGTTTGTGAAAAATCTGATGATAAAATTGCAAACGAGGAGAGAAAAATGGGGCTGTGCAAGAATTATTTGCTAAGCCCAGAATTTTAAAGGGCATTAAAAAATATGGACTAGATTTAATGATGTAAATTATAGCTGAAATAACAGCTAGGTCCACAGGAGTATCAGAAAGGAAAAAGCCAAGAAGAAACTGAAGATCTACCTCTAAAGTGCTATAATTGATACCTTTGATTTGTCATGTTGGAAAAGAGTGCTAAATATCCCATGCACTGCCAAAAAGAACACACTGATAGGTCTTGGAAAAGGTGCAGCCAAAGTGCTCATAGGAGGCAAAGATGACAAAGTTTATCTTATATACTTCAGGCATGTTGCTAGTAAAGCCTATTCATTGGAAAAGGACATAGTGCTTGGAAAGGTGGAGGGATAGTGAAAGAGAGAAGACACTTAACCAGGTGCACTGACACGAAGACTGTGGCAATGCCTCGAGTGTGCCAGAGATTGTGAGGATGGCACAGGACAGGACAGGGTTCAGTCCACTGGATCACTATGAGTTGTACTTGACTCAACAGCACCTAACTACAACAACAAAGTGCTTACCAAAACAAAAAGGTCTTTTGTAAAGTTATGTTTACACTAAGAAGAAAAGAGAAGAAGGAAACTACTGCTAAGAGCAGCTGGTGTTATTTTAACAGATAACGGGAAAGCAGAACTCATTAACTCCCTTTTGTTTCAATCTTCTACATCTAAGAAAATGATCTTCAAATTACAAAGTTGAACAAACAAGAGAAATGAAGAGGAGAGGAATGAAGACATAACGAAAACGGATTTCAGCTAAGTATTTGACACAGCTTATTAACACACATCTGTAGAAAAATGGATAAATGTAAGTCAATACATTTATACATATGTAGATTGGTAACTAGCTGGATAACCATTCCCAGGCAATGCTGTTGTCGGTATGTGCCGTCGAGTCGCTTGCGACTCATAGCGACCCTCTGTACAATAGCCCTAAACCCTGCTCTATCCTATGCCAATCACACTGCCTCCGACACACCCATCCCGATTACCCCAGTCATTCAATCAATCCATCTCATAGAAGGTCTTCCCCTCCTGTTGTGTCCCTCAACCCTCCAAAGCATGATGTCCCTCTCCAAAGACCTGTCCCTCCTTACAACATGTCCAACGTATGTCAGATGAAGCCCCAGAATCCTTGCCTACAAGGAGCAGCCTGCTTTAACTCTCTCCAGGATGAATCTGTTTGTTTTCTTGGTAGTCCACAGTACATTCAATAATCTTCTCCAGCACCACAGATCAAAGGCATCAATTCTCCTTCTATCCTCCCTAGTCATTGTCCAACTCTCTGATGAATAAAAAGTGATTGCAAAGACCATAGCCTGTATCAGACACACCATAGTCTCCAGAGTGACACCATTGCTCTTCAGTACTTTGGACAGGTCCCTAACAGCAGACTTTCCCATCGCAATACGTTTTTTGATTTCCTGGCTACTGGTGCCAAGAGTGTTGACCGTGGAAGCCAAGCAGACTAAAGTTGTTAACAATCTCAGTCTCTTCACCATCCATCCTGATTCTGCCAATTGGTCCAGTGGTGAGAATCTTTGTCTTCTTGACATTGAACCTCAATCCATACTGAAGGCAGAAGTCCTTTACCTTCTGCAGCAAGAACTTCAGGTCCTCCTCAGTTTCAGCAAGCAGGGTTGTGTCATCTGCATAACATGCTAGTTAACAAAAAAATGCCAGAAATGCCAGTCTTGGGAGCACAACTGTTTGTTATTGTTGTTATGTGTCATTGAGTCACCCGTGACTCAGAGCAACCCTATGTACATTAGCTCTGAACCTTGCCCTATCCTGAGGCTGTCTTACTGTCACTAACACACCTAATCCCACTGTCCCAGTTACTATGTCAATCCATTTCATTTGTAGTCCTTCTCACTTACACTGCCCTCCACCCTTCCAAGAACGCTGCCCTTCTCCCAAGGACAGGCCATCTGCCCAAAGTATATGAGACAGAGCTTCAGAATCTTTGCTTCTAAGGAGCAGCTTGGTTTCACCCTCTTCAGGGCAGACCTATTTGTTCTCTTGGTGGTCCATGTGCAAAACAGTTCACAAAATTAAAAACAATGGGTGAATGTGCACAGTAAATAACACAAGCTTACAGAGTGTTTGCTAAGTAGGCTATTTCTTTATGGTCAGGAGTTTAAATTGAAAACAAGATAAAATACTGCAATGTACTGAGAATGAAGATAGAGAAATAAAACATCCCACATTTAACCCAATTTAAAAAAAATCAACTCAATAAATAAAAGTCTCAGGATCTTGATATTAAATGGAGTTTTACCTGATCACCAGCTCAACATGCATTAACTGGCTGAAGTGGCTGTTAAAAAACCCCCAAAAGCAAAAAACCAAACAAATACCAATAATAACAAACACAAGAAAACTCAGCTAAACCTACCAAAGATTTCATCAGTGGAAGTACTTGGGTCAATGATTCTCAAACTGTAGAGGGCATGAAAATCACCCTGGGAGTTTACAAATAAAATGACTCTTAGGTCAAGCCTTCTCCTGCTTCTCAGAGAATATGACGCTAACGATAAGTCTGAGGTCTGAAAATCTGCATTTGTACTAAACCCTCTCCCCCAAACATCCCCAAAACTTCACCCCAAAATGTACCTTAAGTGGCTCTGACAAAAATAATAAGATTACTAACTCATTTTATGTTCTAGTTCTGGTCATCTCTTATTAAATATTAATGCACAGGGCATTTTAAAATGAGCTGTGCCTGCTGAATATATTTCTAGAAGTCTTATCTGTGATGTATAATTTTTTTCACTGAAGATGCTAAAATAAGAAATTCTGGCATATAATAATGTAAATTTTGGTAATCTGTAAAATCAATTAATAGAGACAATGAAATTATTCTCTCACAATACCAGAAAAATGAAGAGCTTCTCAAGGGATGCTGAGAGAAATCTTTTGGATGGAGAAAACAACAAGAAGTTACTGAACTCAGAAGTGTGCAGAAAACAGCTTGATCCAGACTTTTTTTTAATATATAACTCAAAAAGTTTTTATACAACTTGTTACATTTCTCACCTACTCTTTTTTTTGTTAAATCAGATGATAATGAGAACAAATCAGACTTTTCTTGAGCAGTCTTATAAAGGAATAGATTTACTATCTCCAGATAGAGTTTATCAATTTAAAAGCTTTGAACGACTTTTCTATCAGTCTTCTAGGACATCCGAAGACTATGAGAAAAACAAAACACAGCAGGTAGAAGAGAGGGACTGAGAACTGAAAAGCCCAGTCCACACATGCTAAAGTGCAACTGAGTGAATTTCTCTTGCCTGACCTACTTCAGTAATAAGACAAATCGCTGGAAGAGTAATAGAGCTCCAGTTTGACACTGACGACTGACATAAGCTGCACACCAGTTCTTGTCGGTAAAACAGAAAGCCGTTATATTGTTTCAGTGCTTCCCATAGAGCTCTTGGGCTTCTGTCCTTAGCAAACATATCCAGTGGAAGCACTTACCATGATAATCCCCTTGGCCTGGTGGATTGGTTAGAATAATCTTCAAGCAACTAAAAGGTGTATAGTCTGTCCTCTTGCCTTCTTTCCCAAAGCTATGGCGGATGTTGTAAGAGTAGCCTTTATCAAACTGATTGGGAGAAAAAAGACAGGGGCAAAGGCAGAAACATTGTTAGAATCACAAAGTGCAAAGTGGTAATTTCTTAAAACATATTCCACATTCCTGGGCAGATGTGCATTCACACCATATTTAGGTCTTTTAGGAATCTATTTTAAAATATTTAGACATTCCATATTTAGGAATCATTTAGGCCCTTTATGATATAGGTACCTGGCACAAAAATGATATGAAATATCCTTCTCAGGTAGAAGGCATCCGGTTATATGGTTAAAGACAGACAACCCTTTCTGAGCCTTCATTTGCCAATTTCTTAGTTTATTTGCAGAGTTCCTACTAAATGTAAATCAGCATGGTCTCTTTTCTCCACTCTCTCCTCTGATTTTCCTGAACTCTCACTCTGTGGTGTTGTGGCTTTCCTAACCATTTTGACTTTACACTTTATTTGATGTTTTCATCCAGCCATACAATGAAAGGGAACATGAAATACAGAATATATAAATGACTCATGAGGGGATTGGTGTGCTTTGCCATCCACCAGCTTGAAGTTGAGCAGGTTTAGCAGTGAAGAGGGAAATGTCACTACCATCAACGAAGAAGCGGAGAATGCAGTGTGTCCTTCAGGGCCAGAGATCTCTGTGCCAGTCACACAGGGACCTACAGAAGAGCAGGAGCAACCTCAGCAAAGAATCACAGACCAACATGAGAAAGAGCTCACCCGGGACTACTGCCCAAGCTTAACACCAGGGGCCTTAACCCAGGCTTGCTGGAAGACTGAGGGAAGAGGCCAGAAAATAGCAGCTCTAAGAGAACTTGTTTGCTTGTTTATTATAAAGATTTATTTCTGTGATGTGATAAAAACCAGAAGTATAATTTATTTCTCTGCTAAAATTATCATAGTGGAATGTTGGTTTTTTTTTAAAAAAAGTATTACTCTTTTATATTGGTTTACTTACAAAGTTCATATATACTGTTTTTCACACTAGATCTTTCCCCTTTCCTTTCCCCACCTCTCCCTCCATCCATCAAATTGTGTGACCCTATGATAAAGCACTCCCTTCCTTGTATCTTCACAGTCACTCTATAATAAAGGTTTTCTACAGTATTTGGCTTTAAGAGACTAAGTTAGTTCACTTAGCATAACGCTCTCCAGTGCCTCCCATTTTAGGTAGTAACATAAAATTATTGCTCCTGCATGCTGCATAGTATTCCACTGTGTGAATATCTACAATTCTTCAATCCATTCTACTGTGGTTGGGCATTTGGGTTGTTTCCATGTTCTTGCTATGGTGAATAATGCTATTATGAAAATTGGTGAATAAGTCTCTGTTCCTCAGTTCTCATTTTCTCAGGGTATATTCCAAATGGTAGACTAGCAGGGTCATATGGAATGTCTATGTTCAGCTTTGGCAATACCATCTCAGACAAGGGTCTCATAATGAAAGTTTACAGAACACTCCTGGATCTCCACAAGAAAAAGACAATCAAGTACAAATTGGCAAGAGACATGGAAAGACTTTTCACAAAAGAGGACATTCTGATAGCCAACAGACTCATGAAAAAATGCCCCAAAATCACTGGCAATAGGAGAGATGCCAATCAAAACCACAATACCATCTTACTCAAGTAGCAATGGCAAAATGTAGCAGGAAAGCAAGTAATACATGCTGCACAGGATGTGGTGAGATAGGAACTCTTATACATTGTTGGTGGGATTGTAAAATGGTATAATCACTCTGGAAGGCAGTTTGACATTTCCTTAAGAGAACTTTTTAACACTGTGGCAGAGCTCTGAGACTGTGGCAAAGCTCTGAGGCTGAAAGTCAAAGGGCTAGGGAGTACATTTGAGAAGGTAACCTTAGTGAGGAACTGTATCCTGTTGCCAATCTGAATTATTACCTGTGTCCCTGTTGTTGTCTACCATTGAGTTGGAACCGTCTCATTGCAGACCCTCCAGCGGGTTTTCAGAGGCAGTTAACAGCATGAGAGGAGACTGTCCATCCTTCTCCCTCAGAGCAGATGGTGGATTCTAACCATGTGCCTTTGGGATTGCAACACAGCTTCTTACCACTAGGCCACCATAGCTCCCTAGTAAACTCTCTAACAATGTGTGTGGTACTGTGAGATTTGTGTGGCCACTGAAAAGGATTTTGGAGACAGTAGTAGAGTGGTGAGAGCTCTGGGAGGGAAAGTTGATATAAAAATTAGCAAGAGTAGGTGCAAAAGTAAGGAATCAGGAAAGTTAGTTCTTTATTATGGATGTTTAGATGGAGATAGATCCCCCTTGTGGAGTGAACAGAGATCAGAAGTGGGCATTCTCATGCAGCCTTCACGTTTTTTTATACACATATTACTCATTTACTTTGAAAAACATAATTAATCCCTTCCTCCACATTTATACTATACAGAACAAATATTCAGTAAATGCTTGAAGAATGAATGAATGACTCTTATGCAGAATCCTTGTCTCCTTGTTCATAAAACAAATTAATGAATGGAAAGAATATTTTAAATGGCTGAAGTAGGGAAGGAAAAAAAGGACCTAATATTTATTGAAAAATAATCAGATGCCAAGTTCTTCACAGGATACTTTTAACTATGTAATCCCATTTAACTACTTAAATTCTTACAATTCTTCTTTGATATTAAAAATGACAAAAATAAAATTTAAAGAAATGAAGCAATGTGACATAAGCCATAAAGCTATCATGTGACAGACTGTGAAATCATTTGCAAGTCAGTTTGATTCAAAGGGTCATGATCTTTTTGCACTTTCTCAGATATTGAAAAACCATACATTACAATGCAATCTTCATAAGACATCACAACTCTATTTTCAAATGTCAGTTTCATCTTGGAAATCAGTTAGATGAAATATTTTCTTCCACTGGACTTGAAGAGAATTTTATCTATACCTACACCCTGTAGACAATCTAGCAAGAGCAAACACCTTACTGGTAATGGGAAAAAATTCACAGCTAATGAAATCTCTGACAAAACCCTCAAAATGCCAGAGAAGATTAAAGTGAGCATTCAGAGAAGTGATTGTTGTTGTTATGTACCATCGAGTTGCCTGCGACCACAGCCTCCCTGTGTCCAGCAGCTCTGAAGCCTGCCCTGTCCTGAGCCAGTCTCACTGATTCCGACACACCAACCCCCATTTGGGGAAAAAGTACAGGCCTAAAATCAGATATAAATTTTGTGCAGAGTAGAATGTTCCATTGGTTTGTGACATTACATCATTTTGGAAGCTTTCTGCCAGGACTGTGTTCTGAACCGCCTCTCGGTGGGTTTGAACTGTCAAATACTTTGAATAGTCAAATACTTAACTGTTAAGATACATTAAAAAAATCAGAAAATTCATTGCCTTCAAATCCTCCTCATAGTTAATTTCCATTGGGCTTCTGTGGCTTAAGACTTTATGAAGGAAATTGCCCATCTTTCTCCCACAGATGTGCTCATGCACTCAAATTGTTAGCCTTTAGTTAGTGTCTCAGACATAATGCACTACCCCACCAAGGACAGGACAAATTTAGTACCCTCAGTTACACACATTCATCTAAAACAAAAGTTTTTCCATATTTATCCTTCAGCACAATCACTGATTACCACTTGCTTTTACTATTCAATGATCTCTCAAGGCTTTCAAAAGCAGAATTATCAGACGCTGCTGAGTGGTGTGTGGAGCACATCACATGTTATTACATTACTCTGTGAGCTACAATTGCTAAACAGATCCAGAAAGTCCAAGTAACAAGTAATTTTCAAAGGAGAAAATCCTCAAGGTTTTCAGTCTAATAATTAGAATAAAAGAGCTATAAAGAAACTCCAAATTTTACTTCTTTCATGAATTCTTTAAATTTAACTTAAAAAACCAATACTCTGAAAAACTTAGAGAGCAATTATTCAGCAAATTTCCATAAATGAAATTTACTACGTGTAATACCAGAATGTATTATGTAGATAGGAAAGAAAGAAATTCTTTTTATAAAAGATGTGCAAGTTAGCCATGAACTGAAACATAAAAGGAATGTGAAACATGGGCAAACTGTATTTTGGGAAACAGCTGGATTCCTAACATTTAAAGTGACCTAAGCTTCTCAGTATGAAAAAGTTGCCCTTTGTTCCTCTTCCATAATAGGCTTACAGAGCAATACCCAAATGGCACAAACGGGGGTGGGGAGGGGTGGTGCCCACACGTATAGCGTCCCGTTATCAGGCAGCAGAGTTGGTGAGACCTGAGAGGTCTTGCCACTTCTAAAGAGTATGGCTTCACTCTTCAATTTTTAATCTATAGAAACAGTTTTATTATTTAATACATGGAATTGAAGACTAAAATAGATTAAAACATTAAGCATAGTGTGGGAGACATCCTTTATTCCCAATAACTGTTACCTTCTTTTTGAGGAAAAACCAGAAAAGACACGTTGATGTCAGAAAAATCACTGAACTTTTGGTTGTATTTTTAGCCATTTGTTGAAACGTCCTTCTTTCTTCAATGACCCCTCCTCAAGATTCTGACAAACTAGTCACATAAACCTCTCTCTTAAAGTACTTTCCTCTGTAGAATCTTCTCACGCTCTCAGGCAGAGGAAGCTGCTTCATCTAGAGAACACAATGCAGTTATCTATAGAAAACTTTTCACGTGTCAAGAGTTTTGGTGTTCTTTAAAATTTATCTGTATTGGTAAAGAGCAACAATGTCAGTCTGGAGACTGAGGTGCACTTGATACAGGCCATGATATTTGCAATCATTTGCTATGCATCAGAAATCTGGACAATGACTAGGGATGATAGAAGGAGAACTGATCTATTTGAGCTGTGGTGCTGGAGAAGAGTATTGAATATAGTATGGACTGTTAAGAGAACAAACAGGTTCAACCTGGAGAGGGTGAGCCCAGGGTGCTCCCTGGAGGGAAGGATTCTGAAGCTTTGTCTGACATATTTTGGACATGTTTCAAGGAGGGACCAGGCCTTAGAAAGGGACTTGGGAGGGTGGAGGGATGGTGCAAG